ACACAATCACAAACACACAACCACAAACACGCAACCACAAACACGCAACCACAAACACAACCACAAACACACAACCACAAACGCAACCACACACACGCAACCACAAACACATCCACAAACACACAACCACAAACACAACCACAAACACACAACCACAACCACAAACACAACCACAAACACACAACCACAAACACAAACACATCCACAAACACACAATCACAAAGACAGAACCACAACCACAACCACAACTACAAACACACAATCACAACCACTACCAGTACCACAAACACAATCACAAACACACAGCCACAAACACAACCACAAATACAATCACAAACATACAGCCACGAACACAAACGCAAGCACATCCACAAACACACAATCACAAACACACAGCCACAAACACACAATCACAAACACAACCACAACCACAACACAGCACACAACCACAACCACAACACACAACCACAGCACACAACCCGAAGACCCACAAGCAAATCGAGAACTACAATACTCACGACCATGGCAACATGCTCCTCACTATGACATCAAGACAAATGATTGAAGTGTCATGGTGGGGATCACTCGAAGTAAAGTAACTTATATACCCCACCTTGCAAAAACACTGGCAGGCTCAAAAAAAGCAAAAAAAAAACAAAAGTTTTGGCATCTATGGGGGCTCTGGGGGGTGCATAAATTTTGATTTTTTTGAGCCTGCCAAGGAATTTGCTATTGTTTTTATATACACCACCTTGCAAAAACACTGGCAGGCTCAAAAAAATCAAAAATTTATACACCCCCCAGACCCCCCATAGATCCTAAAACTTTTGCTTTTTTTGATTTTTTTTGAGCCTGCCAGGGTTTTGTGACTAGGGCCTTTTGAAATTCTTGATTTTTTTTGAGCCTGCCAGTGTTTTTTCAATTTTTGGTCTACCCCACCTTGCAAAAATGCTGGCAGGCTTAAAAATATATACATATACCACCCCAGAGCCCCCATAGATACTAATTTTTTTTGATTTTTTTGAGCCTGCCAGGGTTTTGTGACTATGGCCTTTTGAACTTTTTGATTTGTTTGAGCCTGCCAGTGTTTTGCAATTTTTGGTCTACCCCACCTTGCAAAAATGCTGGCAGGCTCAAAAAAATCAACAATTTATACCACCAGTATATAGTTTATATTAAATATATTTGATCAGATGTAGGAGGATGTTCATTTAGCATTTTGATCAGACGCCATATGCACATTGCAGATTCAGATTTGTTGGTACCCCCCACCTCCCCTATTTGTCTGAAAGTGTTGGTTTTTTTGGGGGGGTACCATATATATATATATGATATTGACAAAGCATAGGTCTGGAAAGTGGTAACCTCGATGCTAGTATGAATACAGAGCATATGCATATGACATGTTGTGCAATACATGGTTTGTTCAATAAAACATGTGCAGCCAAAAACCCTATAGAAGTCCTGTGAAGCCTATCTTGCTGGATGAGCTGCTGCTGGGAATAGCAACGCTGCCTCAGCCGGTTCCCGACAACCGCCCCGACCGTTCCGGTCGATCCTTCCAATGCTTCCAATTAATTGAGAAAGATCCTTCGAACCCCAACGTGTCCCTGCCCGACCAACCATTCACATTTGGTTGATCAAGTTCTATGCCCGCAAAAAATCGGACTGGTTCTACTCTTGAAACAAAATATGTGGAGGCCATCACTACTAGGTGGAGGCCCATCGCTAGTAGGTTGGAGGCCTTCGCTAGTAGGTTGGAGACCATCGCTATTAGGTTTGTTTGCTTCGGCTAGCTTGGGTTCTACACTCTCTGCGCCGGATGCCCTGCACGACCCATACTCCGCACAACCCCGAACTTCATCTCTCTCCAAGGCACGTCGGGGTGGAACGCAAGGTCGAGAGAGCTCCTGCTCCTGCCGAGACCCACCACCCGAGGTGTCCCTCCGGAGAAAAACCGCTTGGCTTTGGTTGCTTCCAAGTCGAAGCCTTCCAAAAGAGTATAGAAACGGGTGCCTTCCACCCCGGGAAAGGAACATGATCTTGAAACATTTTGAAACACCCTTTCTGGCCGGTGTCATCATTGACTTGAGAAAGGGCAGGAGGGCAATGAGGGCAAGGAATGGTCTACCTTGTTGTCACACGCTCTTGCCTGCAGTTTCGAAGTACAAAGTGCTGACTCTGTGAGGACTTTCGGGAAGGTGAACAGGGACGCCAATGCTTTCAATCAGGTTCCATCCAAGGCCGATTCTCAAAGGGCAACGGAACCAAAAGGCGCAAACACATGCAAAAAAAAACTTAGGAACCGATGGTACGACGTGTTGTTTCTACCTGCCATTTACATGTGCATTGCCCCGGGGGCCCCAAAGCACTGGTACAATCCAAATATATTAAGATACATGCTAATGCATGATGCTGGTTGCATGATATGGTGCCAAGTCACATTGTGCACCATATATATATATATGCATCTTAATTTAAGACATCATGCATACACTCCGAAAACAACCAGTCTCCCACTTTCACATCCACGACCACCCCGTTCCACCACCACACTGGCCTCCAGGGGTTGAGGCCTTTTCAGTGTGCAAGATTCAGGTGTAACATGGTAGCGTAACTGTTTTAACTCCTCTTGCAACTGTGCAACTGCCACTGTGAACTCAGTTCTGGCCCAACACGTTGGCAAGGTGCGTGAAACTGAGTAAAATTGTTTGGATTCATCTGCCACAAATCAGTGAATCACATTCCATTGGCTCTCAATAGTTCAGCTCGTCAGCAGGGCAGAAGAACGTATATACATGAAGACCCATCCAGCTACAGCTACACAACTACTGTAGGTCCAACCTCACAGGGCCCTAAGGCCCTAGGTCATTGTCACTTCGTCCCTTTCAGTGGACACAAACTTCATAAACACCAAGTCATGTCCACGGGATGGACCATGTCACCTCTACTGGTGGCCAATGCTAGGGTCGTTTTCTCTTTGACCTTTGAGCCACTAAAAAACGCATATGACACTCCTTGGAATCAAGTTGGAAGTGGAAAGTCGACGACCCTTTCCCTCTACAAAAACAGCCCGTTTTCCACTTCCAGGGACTGCCCTTGCAGGGAGGCGAGGCCCCGTTTCTGCCCTCACCCAGCCCTCACCGGTGGACGCGCCGTTGGAGGCGCCGGGGGAACCGGAGGCATGGCGTCCGCGACGCGGGTGCGCGCGACTCGTGACGTGGCGACCGGGTGCGACTCGTTGGGGGAATTCATCCACCATTCTGCAAGCAGAACATCTCGCCGTGACGTGGCTCTGGTTGAGCAAGAAGAACTTTTTTTCAACCATCTTGCATCTTGCTGCAAGGCGAAGAAGATGGGCCATGGGTCATCTTTAAAAGTCCTCACATGGTTTCAACCGTTCAAGAACTACATAGGCATTTGTGTTTCTTCCTGTGCTTATTGACGTATTGGACCTCTTGGACGTCGAAGAGTTTGGAGTTCGGTTTGGTTGTTCCAACGCCAAAGGATAGGGACTGGATGGGTGTGTGCCCATGTCATTTGGGCCACCTGCTGAAGTGAGTTTTCGATGCAAAACCCATGGCAACTACACTCTGCCATTCCTTTGCCATGACATCCTTGAATTTGTTCTAGCACGGGCTGCTGTGCTCGGATGCTATATTGTCTCGGAGCAGGATTCCTGCTGCAGCTGCAGAATTGAATTCAACGAGTTCAGCGAAACACATAGCAAAAAAGCCAGCATTTCGGAGAGAGCACAACAAGCGACCGCTGATGCCGCTAGTGATACATACGTACTCCGTATGCTATGTACTCATTATATAGTGTGTTAATGTATGTATCCACTTTCACCGTGTATATATATAATTATATATACTGTATGTGTATAGTATATGAGTTTGTATAGATAGACTCGATATGATTCAATCCCAAGCAGTCCCCTGTTGTGCAAGTGATTCTAGGGGGGTCATTTTGGCTGGGGCCTGGAGCACAACGAACAGTCATAAGAATCAACAACACAAGAAAATCAAAGAATCGACACAGACCGTGCAAGCCCTTATTTGGCCAAAGAAAGACCGTTGCACACTTACTGTGGAACAAGAGTAATTCCAAGCCTGTGGTAGTGGGAGGGAGAGTAATACAGTAAGACCCATGGAAAGCTACAATACTTATTCAGTGGTGAAGCCTCAACCTGTCTTCGACTCGCAGTTCCTTTTTCACGAAAGAGCATCTCTCCGTCTAGCCGCGTCCCCTCCATCCGGAATTGGCTCTGTTCATCATGAAGTCTTCCACGTCAATTAGAGTTGCCTGATGACGTCTAGCCACTGGGTCGACCGTTGCAAGGCTAAGAAGACGGGTATCTGGTGCAGGAGGTACCGTAGGTCATCAGCTGGTGCTGGTCTGGGAGGAGTCCAATTTCAGGCATCTTTGAAGGCAAGATCGCTACGTGGGCAGTGGTTTCAGGGACTTTGTAGAGTTGGAGTTGGTGAACTTGCCTAGAAATGTGCCATAGGATCGCATATGATGGCAAATGGCATCAAAACACCTATATAGCCACAGCAAACATCTTTGCCCTTTTGCCAACTCACTTGAACAACTGTGTGATCATCGGTACTGTAGTACAGGACATTTATTGCCCTCACCTTCTGTGTGATGAATGCTCTGACGTGTCACCGCTTCGGGCGCCCGAACCGGGTCAGTTTGCAGCGACGAGAACCACGTGCCAACCCCAAAACACCCCATTCGACCAGAATATATTGTGCCTGCATAGAATTGCATAGACCCCTAAAACAACCCCAATGTAGGCGAATCATTTCTTTAATTATAGGAATCATGTTGTTTGATAGGTATCCCAATGTATAGGCATGTATATGGCATAATTACATGCCATACATGGAGTGTCTGATGTGTCTGCCCACCACTTCTTCTGAGAATGCTGGCCTCGTCCAACGGGACAACCACACCACATTGCCTCGGCAAAAAGTTCCAACCCAAAACCTGGCGTGGAATCAGGTGCCTAGTTCTTAGAAGGGTCCATTCAGCCCAGGGAATATAAGGGATGTCACTCCATCAAACACCCCCTTCAGGGGTCCTGGTCTGGTTGTTGAAATAGGGAGACCGACCCCCCCCCTTTTGTTTCCTGCTGGGAGGCGACGACTCAACACCCGTCTACCCCGAACGAACGGCTTCGCTTTCACCGGTTCGGACCGAATCACCCAAGCTCTTCTGTTGGGTCAAGGCACAAGTACCCGCTCTTCTCAGGGCAATCCTTCGCAAAGCCTCCCGACTGCGCAAGGCTGTCGATGGATACTGACTCCAATTGGATTGGATATGGAGCCCATCATGGAAGCACTGGCTCATGCAAGTATATGTGGTGTGAGGGCCTTTGCATCGTTCGACCCCTTCGACCCCAAAAGAGCTTTGACATGCTGACGTTCAACGTTGTAACTCCATCTGGACTCCATCATGGCGGCGATTTAAAACCAGGCGCTCCGAGCGAAGAAAGAGTGAAGAGTGTTTTCCGGGGACTTCCGCTTGGGCTGCCGGGGATGCTTTATGCTTTCTTGAGCACGCCAAACGATGAAGACGGCGCCAGCGCGAAGACGTTCTGGACCAAGTGCGCTGTGTGTTCAGGTGAACGTTTACAATTCAAGGATTGACACTTCTGAATGGACATCCCGAGGCGTTTTCCACTTTGATTATTGAAGCGGTTCCCATCAGTTCCCCCTTTTCACCCTTTCACCCTGGAGTCCGCTGGAGTCCGGTTCCGGTGTGTGCCCTCGCTCCAGCAGTTCGGACAGTTCGGCACGACTTCTTTGTGACGAAAGCAGTTCGCTGTATTTGAATATTATTGCTACACTCTTCATGATCATTATACCAATATATACAGTGGATTGCCCTGAAAGGATGACCATGTTCCTCTAGCAACAGCAAGAGGACGCTACATACGAAGGGAGCAAAGAAGCTAAGGGGCTCCTGGCCGTACTACTAGGAGCAAGAGGACGCTACTAGGATCTACTAGGTAGTTTCCCGCTCCGGTGTCGACCGCACGGGGGAGCAGGGCGATGGTTGGTCGTGGTCCGAAGCAGCCACTGGCGCGGCGTCTTCCAAAGCAAAACACGTTCGAACGGCTCATAGTCATTTGGAGAGTGGATCACGGTCGGTGGAACACGGTCGGTGTATTTTCATACGGAGACACCGAAACACCCTAGCTGGGTAGACTGGTAGACTGTTCCGTCATAGCAGGGGGTCTTTGGGAGGTCTCTCTATTTGAGCACACAGACATAGCGAACTCCTTCGATTTTGTAGCCTACATGCCCGGGAAGGCTCCAAACGCAGGGGTCTGGGCCTGGCATCGTTCCTTTGCCATAACGAATGATCTCGGTGATCTTCTGTGGCTCCTGGATCGCAACCCAAACAAAACTCGAAAACGAGAACTGGTGAACAAAAAGGGGGCTGGTCTTATTTCAATATCTCCCTAAGACTCCAACCACATCCCCAGAAGGTGGTTGGGGTGGGTTTGGGTGTGGTTGAAGCCCTAGGGCCTAGGGTCTTGAAGCATGCTCTTCGTTTGGTCTTGAGGTCTAAGGTCCGCAGGAGACCTGCCGGACGGACAGCGGAGGACCAAGGACTCCAAAACCCGGACGAGCTTCGTACCTGAAGGTCTGGACTCAGCGGCGAACCGAGGACGGTGTGGAAGACGCAGGTGTCCAAATCGGAAAAAAGAATGAAAAGAACAGTCCCAATGTGTTGCGCCGTCCTTCAGGAAGCCCCAGCGTTCCAAGTCCTCCAGATTCAATCCTGGCGCAGGAGATACTCCCCGGTGTAGCAAGAGATACTTCAATGAACACTAGTCACCCACCACCTGAGGATTTTGGGGATGCACACTCAAATCCAATAGTACAGGCACTGATCAGTGTGTCAATTCGACAGCGAGTCTACTAAACATTTCTGCTGTTGTGTTTGTCTGCATGACTCCACAATGGAACTCAAGAGATGCATGTGGGTCGCTCGACTGTCGCGTAGTACCTATCGTTAAAGTGTTCCCACTAGTGTTCCCCCAATGTGTTCTTTTTAATGCTGTGCATATATATAGGTTTCCCACAGCCAAGCGTGTGTGTTTCCATCCACATCTGTGAATCCATGAAACCATCATGTTCAGTGGATGGCCATGGCCATGGCGGCCATTGGGACCACCACTGTTTTTCTACAAAAAATCTTGGGGGTTGTCCACTTGAGACAGGAGGGGTGGACGCTAAGTCTGCTCCTAAGCTAAAGCTTATCAAACTCAAGGTTGCGGAGCAACCTTTCGTGATTTGCATGATTCTTGGCACATTTCTCTACCCCTCTCCACTCGTCGTCCTTTGGATACGCGGACTTGGTTCATGCCACCCGGGTGGCACCTGCGCTGCCAAATGGCGCCAGTTCTACCCAGTATAAGAACTGAGACAACCCGCCAGTGAGGCGGTTCAGCGGTTGAGTCCACAGGCAGTCCACAGGTTAAAACAAGACACGATTCATTCCATACAAGCACTACGAGTCTAAGCGCCACAGACAAGACTTGCGTACGAGAGCTGCACCCATGTGTCAGTGAAAGTTGTCAGCAGCGTAGGCCCAGACCCCGCACACTTGGCAATGAACACATCCTTGCCATACTCATACCATTCCTGCACCATTCACAAAAGCTGCGCAAGTGAAACACAAACACAAAGAAAACTGACAAGATCAGGGAAGGGATTTCTGGGGTGGGATATCTACCCCCAGTGTGCAACGTTAAAGGCCCACGAGCATCTCCTCTTTCTGAACTTCAGTGGATGGAGTGGTGCGTCGACGCTCGCGTTCCTCACCAGACATATTGTGTGCAGCAAGTGGCCAAAGAGAAGGGGTCATGTTGCATGTCTACTACAGTAATACATGTGTTGGAGCATTGCACAGCACAAGTTGTTCAGGTTGGACAAGGGGACAAGGGGCATACCACTACCTTTCAGAAGAGACCACTGAATGATTAAATGTGAATTGTAAATTTGTTTTTCAGATCTCTGGCTGTTTCACATGGACATCTGTCAAAGGCTTGTAATCAGCGCAAGAAGGGTGTCAACATCTCTTAACTTTCACTCGAAACCTATCTCTTTCTTGTGTGTGATCCACATCAGCAGAAAACTCCTCTGGAGCAATGTCCGGAGGCTTGTCATCATCCGGAGGTGGCTTTGGAGGATTCCTGCGGCAGAAGCCCAGTG